GGTGTCTGGGTCAGGGTGACGACTGTACTCAGTGTTAAAGAGTATGGTGGGAACACGCCTTGAGTAAGTGGTTATTTTTGAGGTAAACAGATCTGATGTTTTTATTTAAATGTTCATGATTATGAATTGTGGGAACCGTAACCCAATGGACCTAAAATTTCAGAATTTGGGAGACTAACATAAAATAACAGCGGACGTTGCTCCAGATGTAGAACTTTGATTGACATTTACGGGAAAATCATGGCACTATCTGTATACACTTTCAGTGTATTCAATAACCTTATTCTGTTAACAAACATTTCTAAAGCAATTACGAAAATGCTTAAAAACGAAGTGAACGTGCTGCTTGTGCATTATTACCTCACTTCAAAATCATTCCAAATTCTCACGCCAAGTAGAATGGAAATCACATTATTTGAGAATAATTAAAAACTCATTTCACTAATTATATGTTCCTAAAATTGGGAATATTCTCCTACATAATTCCATACAACTATGTGATACACTCTATAGCTAAATCTTTAAGTTAATATCAAATATGGTAAACCAAATTTTAAAGTCTTCTGTAATAAAAATGTCTCTAGAAGGAAGACATGCTCTGTGAATCTTTGCTGTCCTAGTATGATCTGGAATATTTGGGGACCCTGAGCCCATTTTGAGTTACTGAGCTGGGCGAGATCTGCAGCTTTGCCCAACTTTGCCTGTCCCGTGCTTTTGGCAAATGCCTAGACTCCAATTCAGTCCCTCTGGGGACTTTATATAGGCTCATCACACCTTGTGATGGCCAGTCTCAGGTAGGACATTCATGGACATGAAGGCCTCCACTAAGCTCCTGGGTCTTCCACTGCTTCTCTGGCTCCCACGTAAGGAGCCACAACCCTGAAGCCCTGCATGTTTGGTAGAACCTGACCCTGAGGAGTGCTCTTACATCATAATTAATCTGAATTCTCTCTGCCTCCCCCCTCCCGTTTTTCTGTATGTCTTTGATCTGTGCATCTGCCTGTGTCTGTTTCCAATGTTAGGATGCAGATGTGACATTCAGATGAACCAGTCTCCACCCTCCCTGTCTGTATCTCTGGGAGACAAAGTCACCATCAATTGCCAGGCCAGTCAGAGCATTTACAGCTTCCTGGCTTGGTATCAGCAGAAGCTGGGGAAAGCGCCTATGCTCCTGATCTATGCTGCTCTGAATTTACAATCTGGGGTTCCATTGAGGTTCAGTGGCAGTGGATCTGGAACAGATTTCACTCTCACCATCAGCATCCTGGAGTCTGAAGATATTGCTACTTATTACTGTCAATAGTACTACAGTTACCCATCCAAAGTGGTACAATTCATAACATAATCCACCCAGAGAAGCAGAAGTGTGAGACTGTGTGCACCCACCTGCAGAAAGCATCTTAGATGCAGCCAGACTTTGAAGGTCACTGGGATATGCCAAAGAAGAAGCCAGGGTGATTTAGCAAAAATTTCATGAAGTATTTGACAATCATTGACAAAGAAATAAAATTTTTTTCTTGGTCAAAACTAAAAGAAAAGGTGGAACAGTTGCAGAAAATCTTGAATGTGAATATAGCATTAATTTTTATTAATATGACAATATTTTCCAGTCAATATTCATCTAAATGTGAAGTAAAATCTCAGCATCATTGAGAGCATTTTTAAAATCCAGAATTGCAGACCAGCTTAGAACACTGAATGAGGGGACTGGAAAAGATTTGAGCTGAATGAGAAGTGCCCTGTGCACCTAGTGATTGGGCCCAGGGTGCTGGCTCCCAAGAGACTGAGTGTGTGTGCTGGACCAAGTAAAGACTGCTCTCACAGAGGATGAATAGTTTCCTAACCTTGGGTGCTTTTATATTCATCTCAATATTCTGAACTCAGGACTTGGCAAATAACAGAGAAAACACGTGAGAGCCAATACAGCAGCAGCATGGCTCCAGGCGCTGCAATGATGGCGGTGGGATCGGCAGCACTTTGCACAAGGACTTAAAATGTGACTCTGGTAAGAAGATGTCTCATCACTTGTGCAAAAAACATCAGAAACCCCAAAAGCCAACTGGACCCTCAATCATCCAATCATGAAAAAGAGAACACTTGGGCTTGGCTGTCGGTGCCGCAACAGACAGAGCTGTGTCAGCACAGCCTGCACCCAAGGGGCACAAGGGCATTGCATTTCCTGACTGCCCAGTTCTGGCCAAGGCACCAGGCGGCAGGCAATGCCAGGAGGAGGTTGCAACATCCCAACATGCCACACTCCAGTGGACCTCTCTTTCCAGTGGCTGGGCCTGTGAGCAGCCACTACAGCAGTGCACCCATGGTCCCTGGCCATCAGCATTGTCCAGATGACAAACTGGGCTCAGATGAGGAGGGACTTGCCAATTGGGTGGGAGAGTGGTTGAGAAGTCAAGAGGTAGATCTCAGGAAAACGCAGCTCTGGTTTGAGAAAAATGTCTCATTACTGCAAATGGCTATGAAGACCTGGCTGTAGTTCTCAGCAGCAGCAGGAAACTGAGAAGTCTACAGATTTCAGAAAATAAGCTAGAGATTATTAGTGCAAATCATTTACGTGAAACACCCTAATTGCCACAAAGAGAATTTGAGGTTGGAGGCCTGTGAGCTCCCTCGTGCCTGCTGTGATGACCTTACTTCTGCTTTTCCCAAGAATAAAACCCCGTGGGGAATCAATCTGTGGGAGAATGCATTGGACCACAGTGGGGTCATTGCACTGTGTGAGGCCCTGAATCTATCAAAGTGAACCTGCATGTACTCAGGCTGTGAATAACAGACTTTGATGAGGAAACCCGAGCAGTTCTGATTGCTGAGGAAGAGAAATCCCTACTTGACAATCCAAAACAGCATGTAAGAGAAAGAGAAAGCGTGTGAAAATTGCATTCCAATAAACCTGAGTGTATTATGACATAAAACTATGTACACAGGAAAGGCATTGGCCCCCTGGCTATCTGTGTGCAAGAATTACACATCAGGACATTCTAGTGAGATACAATTTCTCTGGTACTCAATTCAGATATGTTGTGTAAGATGAATGGAGTTTTTCATTTCTAAAAGAGGACACGAAGTCAGGGCGATGGCAGTGGTGGTGAGGTGAGGGGGAAAAGTGGGGGGCAGTCTGAATATGATCAGAATACACTGTAGGAAATTTTTGAATCAATATTTTTTAAAAAAGGAAACAGTGAGAATGCCATCTTACAAGGTAAAAGAGGATCCCTAGAGGTTGAGTCAGGCATGGATTTGGGATATTAATGTCAACTAAGAAGTTTTTTCCCCTAATATCACTAAAAAATTTCAACTTCAATTCGAATATGGAAATTCAGTGGGCTTTATCATCTAATCACTGAAACAAATATATTTGAAAATACTTTCGTGGATGTGAGGTTTGAAAATACCTATGGCCTAATCAAAAAAAATATGTCAGGCAAAGTATAAATTTTCTTAGAACATTTTTAATAACTCAACTGAAAAATTAAAATTCCATGTGTCTCTTTTACAAACCACTAATCTCAATTTCACCAATGTTGTTTGGCTTGGGGTCTTCCTCAGCTCCTCAGGGTGCATGGCAGTGTTGAGTCCTGGGTGGTCACTACCCTTCAACATTGGCTCTAGGCAAATGGTATAGTGGAATCAAGCTCAAAGATCTCAGTAAGAACTCATCAACTGAATCCTGCCTTGTTCAGCCTCAATGAGTTCCAACAGGAACATCAGAAATAAAAAGTATCATAAGTGATGAAGTGTGAATTGGTTGGTGTCAGCATGGAGCTGCAGATATTAGGGGACCTTTTCATGGACAGTAGCAGCAGATCTATTATTTAAGAATTTCCCAAGTTCTTTATTCAAATCTCAAGCATAACAGTACCTTTACCTTTCCTGCGAATCTCAGTATCTAATAATAGATTTCTTTCTGCTTCGGGGACTTGAAATTTCTGATATCAATGGCCAGTTCAAGCTGAGAGCATTTTCAAAGCCTCCTTTCTCGAACCCCTTTCTATTGTAGGATAACTGCCATAGAAGAAGAAGAACAGAAAAGTAACCTCTTCTCATAAACATAGGAAAGATGCTGGGCGTGGTGTGCACATCTTCAATCCAAACAGTCAGAAGGAAAAGAAGGTCTATCTCTGTGAGACCTAGGCAAGCCTGATCTCCTGAGCAAGTTCCAGGCCAGATGAGGCTAAAGGTAAACTCTGTCTCCATAAAGTGAAGGGTACACCAGGGATCCTTGGTGTCCCCAACAGCTGCACTGACTCAGGTCAAGTAGTGGCATCAGCGATTTTGTCAACTTGAGAAAAATCTAGATTTGCCTGGGAAGAGGGACTCTCAAATGAGGAATTTCTTCCATCACATTGGCCCATGGGCATGTCTGGTGGTCATTTTCTGAGTTGATAATTGATGTAGAAGGGCCCAGTGCATTGTGGTCAGTATCATCCCTGGGCAAGTTGGCTTGGACTGTATAAGAAAGGGAGCTGAGGGCTGGAGGGATGCCTCACAGGGTAAGAGCCCTGACTGCTCTTGCCGAGGACCCAGGATTGATTCCTGGCACCCACATGGCAGCTACCATTCTTAACACTAGTTCTAGAGAATCTGATACCCACTTCTGACCTCAGTGAGCATTGCACAACATAGATGAACCTACATATGTCAGGCAACACACTCACACACATAAAATAAAAATAATAAATACAATATTTTTTAAAGAAAGGAAGCTGAGCAAACCAAGTGTAGCAAGTCAGTAAGCGGCATTCCTCAGTGGTCTCTGCTTCAGTTCCTACCCCCGGGTTAGTGCCTGGAGTTTTTTCTCTGACTTCCCTAGTGATAAATTAAGAACTAGAAACTGTAAGCTGAAAATAAACCCCTTTCTTTCAAAGTTGTTGCTGGACATAATGATTTATCACGTCAACAGACAAGCAAACAAGGACATGTGTGGAGTATCAAGTGTTTACTCCATCACTAAAGACAAGTTTCAAAAAACCTCCTGAATGACTGTTCACTTATGCTGAGAGCGGTGTGGGCACAGTATTGTCTCTGACACATAGAGAGGTGAATTACCACATATAGTCTATTTCAGCTTGAGAATCATCAATATGCTTAACAGAAAAAGCAGAAATTTGAAGGTTTTTAAAAATATTTTATTTATTATTTTTATTTCTTTTTAGTTTATTGTTTGTTGAATAACCACATACTTAGAAGAAGCATTTCATTCCAACAGCATTGACATATTCAATAACAATTTCCAGAGCTAAGATGCATCTCTTTCAAAATTGGCTGTAAATTTTTAGGTTTA